GAAAACCCTCAGTTCTACAACTGGTTCGAAATCGCCTCCCTTGACCTGTATCCTCCTGTTTCTACAATCACACACACATGGTTAATTTTACAAGACAAGTGGGCCAATGGACCCTACCTTGTCTTTGGGCGAATGTATATAGGTGTGTATATTTAAAAGAAGAAGGGAAGAATAAGAGGATAGAGATTAAGGGTGAGGAAAAGAAAAGAAAGAGATAGAATAAAAGAAAGAGGAGAGAAGAATTTGACCATGCGGCTAGACTGACACAGTGGCTAGACCAGTAGGTGATTGACCCGACGTGGTAGTAAGATGGGCACGGTAACTCAGACCGGCACGGCGACAATGGTACTAGACGACAAAACCAACACTGACCAGCTTGGCACGATGGCTAGTCTATCGTGACAGTAAGACAGGCACAGTAACTCAGAACGGCACGTCAGCATTACTGCTAGACGACAAGACTACCGTGAAAGTGCTAATCTTAACCTCCCTTGGTCAAACAAGAAAGGAAGAAGAAAGAAGAGAAAAAAGAAAGAGAGGGAAAAGGAAAAATAGAAGAAGAGAGAAGGAGAAGAAAAAAAAAGGAAGAGTAAGGAGAGAGAAGAAAAGAAAGAGAGAGTGAAAAGAGAAGTAGAAGAAGAGAAGAATAGAGTGGAAGAAGGGAGAATAGAGAAGAAAACGAGGAAAAGATGAAGAAGAAAGAAGAGAAAGAGGGAAAAAAAGAGGGAAAGAAAGAAGAGAGAAAAGAGGATAGGAAGAAGGTAGAAGAGAGTGAAGGAAGAGGGAAGAGAGAGAAAGACAGAAAGAGAAGAGAAAGAAGACAGAGAAGGGAGAAGGGAGAAGGGAAACATGGAAGAAGAGAGCGAAAGAAGAAGAAAGAAAAAGAGCATGGATGCCGATGGGGTTCCGCCGTCCATAACAGAGGAGAGAGAAGAAAGAAGAGAGCATGGACGGTGATGAGCTTCCGCCGTTCATGACGAAAGAGAGAAGACAAAGGAAAACATGAACGACGATAGGCTTTCGCCATCCGTGTCAGAGGAGAGAGAAGAGAGATGAAAGCATGGACGGCGATGAGCTTCTGCCATCCATGACAGAAGAGAGAGAAGAGAAAAGAAAACACAGACGGTGATAAGCTTCCATTGTCCGTGATAGAAGAGAGAGAAGAGAAAAGAAAATACAGACAACGATAAGCTTCTGCCATCCATGACAGAAGAGGGAGAAGAGAAAAGAAAACACAGATGGCGATAAGCTTCTGCCGTCCATGATAGGAAAGGGAGAAGAGAGAGAGAGAAACATGGACAACAATGGACTTCCGCCGTCCATGACAAGAGAGAGAGAAAAGAGGGAAAAACATGGACGATAATGGACTTTCGCCGTCCATGACAAGAGGGAGAAAAGAGGGAGAAACATGGATGGCGATGGATTTTCGCCTTCCATGACAGGACAGGGAGAAGAGAGACAGAAACATGGATGGCGATGGACTTCCGCCATCCATGACAAGAGGGGAGGAGACCTAGACAGTGACCCTACCCGCCACTCAGGTTAAGGTCCGGCTCACTGTTCATGTTCCAAGAGACAAGAAAGGAAAGAGATGTCATACGCGATGATGGGTACCATTGTGCATGGCTGAGGAGGAGAGAGAAAGGAGAGATTAGAGAGAGAAGGAAAAAAAAGAAAAGAGAGAGAAAGAAAGAAGGGGAGATAGAAAGAACCATGGAGGAAAGAGAAAGGAAAGATAGAGAAGAGAGGAGGAGAGAGAAAGAAAGAGAAGAGAAAGGAGAGAAAGAAAGAGAGGGAAGAGAGGAGAGAGAAGAGAGGAGGAGAGAGAAAGAGAAAGAAGAGAGGAGGAGAGAGAAAAAGAAAGAAGAGAGGAGGAGAGAGAAAGAGAGAGAAGAGAGGAGGAGAGAGAAAGATACCTTCACCAAAGGGTATCAAACTTTTTATTCTCTCTCCTCTCTCTATCTCTCCAAGACGTGCCTACAATCTCAATACAAAACTCTCAAATTTTATTCATTAGCCTGAAACATTTTACAATTAGGTTTTGCATGTATTTATAGAATTGGGCCCAAACATGGGTGTATGCCCAAAATCTAGCCTAATTGACGATAATTACAATTTATTTGAATTAAAGAAAAATCTAAAAATGGGTATAAAATGACTTTTTTGCCCCTGCCCAACAACACATGAAATTCCAAAACAGTCCCTACTGTTGCCCTAGAATGTGCGTGATCTTTCAGGAAGATCCAAGGTTGCTCCGGCATCCATTTGGTTGAAAGATGATTGCTTTCTTGTCAGGCTCAACATGATGATCGATTGGATACCAACTTCGAACTACGGATCGTGTTTTTAGGCCAATATCACACAACTCGAAATTTGGATGAATATTGAAAATTTTCGATCGATTGTGTGCTGGTTTCTTGATGTTTTTCTTTGGTTTCTTTGTTGAATTACATTGAGCATTCCGTCACGATCGCATTGCAACAAACACATGCTCAATTTCGTGCCCAAAAGAAGATTTTACAATCTTTGAGTTTTGGCCGAAATCTGAAATCTGGCGGCTGGAATTTGTATCAATGTTATCGGCTTCGTGTGTGAAATCCGACCCTTCATCATATACGAAGTTTGGACCAAATAAAGCCCTCTACGTTATGCACGCGATGGAACTAGTTTCGCCTCTATCGGGTGCGTGAGCATCGTGATATGGCCACTTGAACAAGGTGTGTCGTTGCTGAATTTTCTGCAACTTTTACCACGAATAGCGAACTTCTCTATAGGTTTTCTACCTGCTCGCGCATTGTCACGGGGCGTATCAAATATCAAAACGCTCGTCTTGACGAGACAAACACTCTCTAAAAAGTTTGGGGGCGATCTGAATCAAAACAAATGAGATACAAGTCTCCGAAGTTGATGCTCGTGACAGTGCACACCAGTCTCCTTTAATGGAGATTGGTGCTGGGAGGCCACACAGAAATAGCGTGCGACTTACCCCTTTTAATGTTTCACCCATAACTTTGTCTTGACAATTTTGTTTAAGCCGAAGCTTGACCCCTAGGGGTTTTTGACTGTACCAGATCCAACGGTGGTGGTCCCACTGCTATTTGACGCACCGAAAATAGAGTTCTAGTTACAGGGTCCGTTTCAGGTGCTTGAGGTTGATTTTTTCGAAATTGTTTCTTTGTCTACACTGCCTTAGACATGTTGGATTGCAGCGAAACTTGGCAGGTGGCCTTTTGAAGTCCTTAGGAACATTTCCAATCATTCTGGGTCAATTATGAGATTGTCGAAAACTTCACTGTAAACCAAGGCTTTATTGATTGGCTTCCTCTTTTATTCCGCATCGGGAGCGCAAGGGGCTGAAAAATGTGTTCAAATAAGTTTATCTGCAAAACCCTAATCCACCAATATCATTTAAAGTCACAATCAAATAGAAAAAATAAAACATTCATAAGTGAACCAAAAATCCTAATATGCCATTTACGTATTTTAAGGTTATTTTATCCCCAAAACCTTGATCACCCAAATCTCATTCTCAATCACAATCAAATATAAAATGAAAATTATAAGTGAACCAAAAACCCTAATTTGCCATTCACACATGTTGGGGGTATTTTATCCCCAATACCCTAATTCCCCAAATCTCATTTAAAAAAAAAAAAATGAAGCATAGTTGGTTGTGGTTTGAGAAGCTTGCTCGAATGTCACACAGAGGGCTGGGCTTCAAGAAAGACAAAGCGAGAGAAGTGTTAGACTTGGGTTTGGGCTTGGCCAAACAGAGAGCGAGAGAGGAGAATAGAGAAAACAGAGCAAAGTAGTGAAATTGGTCTCGTAACGTTTGAGAGTAGCCAAACAGTTATCTGGTATTTCTCGCACCGGACAATAAATTCACAACTTAAAAATGCACGCCAGATGTCCGATAATATGAACACATAACATCTTTTTGCTGTGAAAGATATAAACCCCCCCATCCGGTATTTGCGTTACCAAATAGGGGGTAACTTGGGAAAACAAAACGCCGCGGGAGGGGGCGGTGCTCGTAATTTCTAGCAAATGCAAGCTCATTTGGTATCTGATCCCCCCTCCCCCAATATTGTCTATATGTAATTTTCTCTTAATTTAAAAACCCACGAGCCACTGCCCAAGTTGGTTCTATACTAGTGGCCAAGTGGTCCGGGTCTCAAGATCCCTAGGACCTAATCGATTTCGGTTGGTTCCCACCAATGTTCAACTACTCGGGCGAGCCAACTTGGACTCGTCCAAATAACTCGGACTTACTGTATTCTGAGTTTGGTGGTCAAGCTTAGGATCTAAAAAAATATAAAAATATATTAAAATAATAAATTTATTTACAATGTATTTTTAAATGTTTTCTATTATTTTGATAAAGATTGGGAAGTGTTTGCCTATATATACCTATTTTTACATTTTATATTTTTCGGATTATTTTTAAAATACCCTAAATTACAAATTAATTTGATTTCAAAATCCATTTTCACTATTTTTTAACTTCATTTAGATGTAGTTTATTTAATTTAAAATTCAACTCTTTTTCTTTTTTCATATTTTTAATTTTATTTTTGTATTTTTTTGTCTTTAATACATTTTGGCAAAAGGACCTACCCCAATCGGGCTGAGTTACTCGACCCAGCCCAGCGCAGTTCCCGGGCCAAGTCCTGCTTTCCTATACTGGTTCTCACAAATTTTTAATTTGCAGCCGAGCCTGCTCGATTCGGCGAATGATCACTCTGGTTGTAAAAAATCGGCCAATGATCACTTTGGTTTTAAAAACACTATTATCAGGTATCAATTCTGAAAGGTACGCCATATGGGAATGGAGCTTGAGATCTAGCGTTGAAATTGAGATGTGCTAACCACTCGAGCCCAAACTCAATTCATGAGGGCTCGCTTTGATATTTCTCCCAAAGAGCGAGGACATATGGGTCATTTCTTTTCCCACGAAAACCCTAACTCAAAACCCCTACCCAAGCAGCGGCGATCAACTCTCAATTATATACACCAAAGATCTCTATATTTTTCCATTGCTTCACCCCAAAACCCTAACCCTAGAAATTTTGCAGAGAGCCGCTACCGCCATGCCTCCGAAGTTCGACCCTTCTCAGGTCGTCGATGTCTACGTTCGAGTTACAGGCGGTGAGGTGGGAGCCGCCTCTTCTCTTGCTCCAAAGATCGGTCCATTGGGGCTTTCTCCTAAGAAGATCGGAGAAGATATTGCCAAAGAAACTGCAAAAGATTGGAAGGGGCTGAGGGTTACAGTGAAGCTCACTGTACAGAATAGGCAAGCTAAGGTTTCAGTAGTTCCTAGCGCTGCTGCTCTGGTTATCAAAGCTTTGAAGGAACCAGAGAGAGATAGGAAGAAGACTAAGAACATCAAGCACTCTGGTAATATCTCTCTTGATGATGTCATTGAGATCGCTAGGGTAATGAAGCCTAGATCCATGGCGAAGGACCTCAGTGGAACTGTTAAGGAGATTTTGGGCACCTGTGTTTCAGTAGGGTGCACAGTTGACGGAAAGGACCCCAAGGATTTGCAGAAGGAGATCACGGATGGTGATGTTGAGGTCCCTCTTGATTGAGGTGCGGGAAAAAAACAGGCTCTTTATGCTGTTTTTCTGCTTTTTTCTATTGCATCGGGTCAAAATTTGAGATTAGTTTTTTTTTTTATGTCCTTTGAAAGGAAACCTAGGTTTGGAGATTTTGGATTTGATAGTGTATGATGGAAATGTAATTTGGACAGATTTTAAGGGTTTTTAGTGTTTATTTGTGCATTGGATTGATTTAACCTGTTTTGTTCTATTAAATAAGTTAGAACAGTGGGGATAGTTTCTCTGGGTTTTTTTTCTTTTTTCTTTTTGGTTCAATGGTTTTAAGTGTGGATATTGTTCTCTTTTTTGTTTTTCAAGTCTTTTTATTGATATGATGAGAGTATTCAGGTTCTACATTGTCTTGAGGGATTGGTAGTTGTGTCCATTTTATATTACTCTGTATTTTCATAGTTGATTTTTTTTATTATGGTTTTAGGGTTCTTGATCAGCATGATTTTTTTATATTCTATTATTATCAAATTTGGATCTTAATCACAACTAAAGACCAGGACGATAACACTTTATATGAGTATGGTAGTCATTTCTTTTGGGTAATTTTGTTATTCTTTTTCATAGTTCCTTCTTTTATTTTTTTTCAAGATTTGTGTACTTTTGTTTATTAACGAGATGCTCACGGAGGGGAACTTGGATATAAGATTTTAGATGTTGGACATCTAGGAATATTGTATTTAATATTAAACAATGTTCTGGTTTATGTTATTGAATTGGCTTGGATTCTCTTTCCTGATTGAATTACATCCTGCTGCAGTTTTTTTGTTGATTTATGCATTTGTTTTGTTCAATTTGTGTGATAATTTTGTTTGTTCATTATATTTTGATTTGTGTAGCCGACCCAAATGGTTGGGGTAAGGCTCGGATGTTGATGATGATAGGATTTGAGAGCATTAGGATTGATCCCTCTGTAAGTTTTATATAGCATGATAATGTTATCTGCCCATGTGCATAGGAATCTATGGTATATAATTTTTATATAATTTGCTGAGCTGTATTTCTTGAAAAGATATTATCCCTTTAAATTGGTTTAATGGAGATTTTTTTTTTTAATTTTTCTTTTTAAATTTGGCTTGATTTAGGATCTTTTAGGGGCGTGGGGATAGGGTTAATAAAGAAAGCCCCCACGCTCTCTCCATATCAAGAGATATGTCTTTCAATTGGCTTCCCTCTGGACATGGAAATAAGATATTGGTATGCTCTCTTTCACTTGAAGATTTCTGATAGTGATAATCCATCTCCTTGTGAGCCTTACCTCTACTGATGAGAGAATCTTTTCCATTATCAATTGTGATCTTCAAAGGAGTAAAAGAAAAGTTAATAGTCACTTGGGGAGCTAGCTTTTCCATCTCTGTTCTGTAAAATTGGAAGTGCCACCAGATCGCTTTAATATTGAGGATCCTGCTAAGATTATCCTTGTTACGCCAACTTTTCAATTTGAGGATTTAGGAGCCTTAATGTTCTTTGCCTGTGACACCTTATATGTTTGCTCAATTGGATCAACAGACTTTTCATTCCCTTCTAGATCCATTATTCAATGTCTTAATTTTTTTATTGTATAGTTTTATTCATAGAAGTTTATGTTATTTTATTCTCAGGTATTTCCATGGAATCTTAAGCCATTTCCCTTATTCCTAGTTTCCCTGTTTTGTCCCAACTTCTAAATGTACTTTAGTGAACTAGTAACAACAAAGACACCTTTGCTCACCAAGGTTTTCATTGGAAAGTCTTCATTTGATGTTTGGGAGTGTTTGAGAACTTTAAGACATTCAACAACGACAAATTGTAAGAATTAGCTATTACAGGGATTGTTTGGAAGCAGTGTTGCTGTGTGGATCATGCCAGCTTAATTGTGAATCTGAATGTGTTGCTCATTGTGGTGTAGGAATGCCATGCGATGTGGAGTTGATGCTGTTACAGCTACGCCCCTCAGACGAATTCCAAGAGAAAGGATGTGGGCAGCTTGCATATTGCATTTCCTTTTATTTTTTAAGTTTTATGATAGAGGTTGTTAAAGTAGTGTGATAAGAGACTTCCATTCAGGTAAGTATTGATAAGATATCTCATTGATTCAACATTAAAATCCTTCACGGAGAAGTTAATGTTGGGGTGTTGCGAGAGAGCATGAAGGTTTCCTAGCAATGGAATTTTTTGTACCACAAGCATGTTACCTGCTATTTTTGAAGTATACTATAGTGTAGATGGATGAGATCGCCACCTAACTAGGGGCAAAATCATGATCTATCAAATCGGAGGGTCCATCTTCTGAAAAATCGAGTTTTGAAGCTTTATATAACATAAATCTAGTTGTGTGGTAAGCATGTTACCTGCTATTTTTTAACTATACCATACTTTGGATGCATAATTCGGAGGGTTAATATTCTAAGAAACCAAGTTTTGAAGCTTTATATAACAAAGAAATCTAGTTGCGTGATTTTTTTTGTGCTCATTTTACTTTTATGTAACAAGGGAAAGTGTAGATTGTTCCTCTTGTTCTTGAACGGTATGGATTTCGGTTCATATGGATGTGTTGGTGTTGATTGCCTCTTGTGAGGTTTATTTCGTTTTAAGTGTTTTTTTGTTCAGTCTCTTGAAATTTTTTTACTTAGCTTATTCAAGTTCTCTATTCTTTCGGGAATAAAAAAATGTTGATCTGGATCCAGAATTATAGGTCAGGAATGGGAATTTGGTTGGGACCAATCTAGTTCCTTGTCAGAAATGGCAATTGGTCTGGTTTGGTACTTGGGCTGGTTTAGCCCGAGGATGGGGCGATTTGGATTGTGAGTTTCCTTTTTTTTATTTTGATACTTTCCTAGTTCGCCTTTTTAATTTTTTTGAATTCTAAAAATAGAACTTATATTCTTTTTTGGATTGATTCCCATGTCAAAGAATCATGGATTGTTCCAGTTGCATCGGTTGTGGGGGTTATTGATCCCGCCTCCTGATACGCGTTTTAGAATATGGGTGTGGGTTTTAGAGTGCCCATCTTAGACAATCAAAGTAAGCCACACCTCTAAAAATTGTCGGAAAATGTAGTCTCATGTTGGATGTTCTTGTAATACCCCAAAAATATGTTCTTTAAAGCTCCAAAAATAGTGTGATCACGTGGAACTATATATACTTCAATACTTGAAGATGGATGGTTTAGATAATGTGGTACAAGATGTAGCTTTATTTTAGTACTTAGATCTTTTTTTTTTTTATATCTATACATCTTCCTTCCTCTAGATGATGAAATTGGTGGGCTTTTTAGTAGAGGTACGGTTTGAGTAGAGCCTAGGCTCTAAACAATCAAATTAGAGTCTATCTTATCTCTAAATAGTATTGGGAAATATGGTTCAACACTGGCAATCTTTTTGAAAGCTTAAAAATATATTTTGATCTTTATTTATAAAGTTTAAAGCTTCAAAAATGGTTTAGATTGACAGATCTATGAACACATGAAATCTGGAAAATTGACAGTCAAAAAGTGCACTACAAAATACATTATTTCCAAAATTTGAAATCAATTTTTTTCTCATGTCCATGCATCTTGATGTCGAGATGATCAATTTGAGGAGTTTTGAGTATCAAAACAATACGTCTAATGATTTTTGTTGTAGGGTCGAATGTGATTGTTTAGAGCTTCGGCTCTATATAAACTTTTCCCTTTTAGTATTGGGAGAACTTTTTTAAGTTGGGGTGCGGTTTGTGTAGAGCTTAGAACAATCAAATTAAAGTTACCTTCAAATAGTAACAAGAAATGTAGTTTTAATATAGGAAATCATAGTGATAGCTTTAAAATATATTTTCATCTTTATTTATAAAGTTCAAAATTTCAAAAATAGTGAGATCGACAGATCTATGAAAATTTGAAATTTGGAAAATTGACGATCAAAAAATGCATTACAAAATTCATTGTTTCCTAAATTGGAAATCAATTTTTCTCATGTTCATGCATCTTGATGTCGAGATGATCAATTTGAGGATTTTTTATTATCAAAACAATCTCGCTTGGTGAAATTTTAGACCTTCGGCTCTATATAAACTTTTCCCTTTTAGTATCGGGACAACCTTTTTTTAGTTGTCCTTTACTTTGATCTCAACCTTTATGAAAATGTAGGGTTGCATTTTATTTAAGGATGCAGTTTGCATACGGATGCATATGTAGGTGTAGATATAAGATGCACCTTCAAATTTTATAATGGTATATAATTTTGATGTAAAATGTGTTTAGGATTAACTTAAAATTTATTTTTATATCTAATTATAAAATTTTAAAATTAAAAAATGATTAAAATTAAGTAGATCTATAAACATATGAAAATCTTGAAAATGGACGGTATATGTAGTATGTTGTAAAATGCATTATTTTTTAGGCTTAAAATCTTTTTATTTTCATAGTTATATATCTCGATGTCGAGATGATCAATCAAAGGGTTTTTCAACATTAAAACTACCTTTTCCGGTGGATTTTTTAGGGGCATCCGTAGTTCTACATTATAAGGTAGCATCCTTATATAAACTTTTTCCTTTATATAAGATGTTTTTCCATAGAACATTGCTTACATCTCACATGAACACTTTCTTTACAACCAAAAGGGCTTGTTTGGTAACTAGGAATTGGAATTTCTTTATAAAGTAGGATTCTAAGGTTGGATTTTTTTGAAGTTTGAAATCAACAAAGACTGTGTTTGATAACCTGCTTGGAATTCTAAGAAGTCTGATAACCTGATTGAACTAGCCTGATTGAATTTGGGAATTTGGAAACCAAATGAGCTAGTTATAACCAGTGGTTTAAAAATCGTCGACAGGAAACTGCTAGTGTTCAGAAAGGAACCGGACGAGTAGGGTGTGTACAAGTGTCACCACGTATGACGGGCATGTACAAGTGTCACCACGTTTGATGGGCGTGTACAAGTGTCGCCATGTGTGACAGGCGCGTACAAGCGTTGCCACGTGGGATGGACCGACAACCTTTTCACTCGAGCGATAGATTGTGGTACCAAGGAGTATGTTATGGACGTCAAACTTTAGGTTTTTCGATGTAGGATTTTAGTAAGGTACGCAGGCTTGAAAACATAGTATAATATATCTTTTTATTATACAAAATAAAACAACTATTGTTGTGTGGTCTAGTCGGTTATCACTTTTGTTTCCCTCTCAAGAGGTTCCTCATTCAAACGTCAGGGCAGCCACCATCTTATTTATTTTTTTGTCAAAAAAAATAAAAGGTATTTTGAAAAAAAAATAAAAGTTACATTGACAAAAACATGAAAGTTATGACAAAAAAATAAAAATTATTTTGACCAAAAAATAAATTTTTATCAAAAAATAAAAAATAAAAGTTACATTGACAAAAAAAAATTTACTTTGACAAAAAAAATAAAAGTTACATTGAAAAATAAATAAAAGTTATGACAAAAAAAAATAAAAGTTACCTTCACAAAAAAATAAAAATTACCTTGACAAAAAAAATAATTTTTTGTCAAAAAATAAAAAAAAAAGTTGTCTTGACAAAAAAGTGAAAGTTATGACAAAAAAAAAAAGTTACCTAGACAAAAATAATAATTTTTTTTCAAAAAAATAAAAGTTGCATTGACAAAAAAATAAAAGCTACATTGACAAAAAAAGTTATATTGACAAAAAGATAAAAGTTATGATAAAAATAAATAAAAGTTACCTTGACAAAAAAATAAAAGTTACCTGGGCAGCACCGTCTTCTTATTTTTCTTGTCAAAAAATAAACAAAAGGTAATACAATAAGTATTTATTGTCAAAATATAAATAATAAATAATACAACAAGTATCATGTTTTTCAAGCACGCATTTGAGCTGTGATTATTCTAGAAACCTTAAAAAAATTGATTTTTGAATTATAAAAAATTTGATTTTTGGAAAATTAAAGTGTTATTTCGAAAATTGGTATGCATTCTAATAATTTCTACATTGATAACAGAATCTTATATTTTATTTATTTACTTATTTGCATTGTAAATTATGTAATTTACTATTTTTTCTTACAGTTGTCAATAATATATTTTAAATTAGATGATATTATAAGATATTTTGGATTTGTTATTATTTGTATATTAAAATAATTATAAACTATAAAGCAACAATTTCATTTTCAGTATATAAGATTATAGTTAGTTAGGTTGTAATAATTTTGGATTAGTGTTAGTTAGATTGTAATAATTTTGGATTAATGTTAGTTAGGTTGTAATAATTTGGGTTTTTTTTTTAGTAGATTAAGGTTTTCCGCCAATTCGAGATTTTGGTGGCCATATTTTCATCGATTTAATCTATTCTTTATTGTAGTCCATGTATGATTATAGGAAAAGTCTTCCCAGCACCTATAGGCGAAAATGAACAGTGATTTCGCCTACCCTCATCACCATTCAAAGTTCATCGCACAGTCACGATTGTCCTGTAGTGTTTTATTTTTATTTTTTTTCTTACAAATTGGAATAATCTGAAATTTAGAGCACGACTCTATCTTAATGAGGCCCACCTAATAAAAATATAAAAAAAATAATCGGCGAAAACAAATTGACCAAAATACCCTCGAAATATTTCAGGGGTATTTTGATCAATTTGTTTCCTGTAAAATAGTTTTTTGATATTTTTTGTAGATTCACCTATTTTTGATGAACACACTCTTCAAATTTTAGATCATTCTAATTTGTAAAAAAAAAATGAAAAATTAAATACTACTGGATTATTGTGATCATGCGATGAACTTTGGTCGGTGATGAGGGTAGGCAAAATCACTGTTCATTTTCACCTATAGGAGTTTTGGAGTATCTTTCGTGATTATATACTTCATCCATGACAATTCTATAATTTTTTATTTATGTGATGTAAATTTAATGGTTAATAGAAGTTCATATATGGAAAGAACATCTCAATATTTACATATTGATAAAAAAAATGAAAGTTAATAATGTACTTTCCCCATTTCGTATTGGATTCCTAAAAAACAATATTTAATGATTTTTAATAAATTTTTTGGATTTTTTTTAAGGTTTAATCTGACTGATTCGGCCAATTCCAGATCCGAATCGCCCATACACCGATCCGGATGGGTTTTTAGAGTGCTCAATCAGGGGAACCAAATTGTTTTTTAAACCACTGATTGTAACTGTTCATTAAAGATTTCGTCGCGGTATAATGATATTTGTGTGAAATTACAAAGATTTTAAAATCAATCAACATCCACCATAGTTAAAATAAAATGCACAGTTTAGATCATGGG